CATGACGTACTCAATGAAGAGCTTGGCGATAGACTTTTCCGTGTAGGGATGCGTGATCGGTATGAAGTGCGCGTACTTTGTCAGTCGATCGACCACGACCATGACCCCATTGAACCCATTAGAGATAGGCAGCGCCTCGATAGTCCATGGTGATGTCCTCCCAAATATTCTCGGGCACGGGTAAAGGCTGCAATAGACCACTCGGTCGTCGAGCATCAGCCTTAGTGCGCTGGCACTCGTCGCAATGCGCGACATACTCCCGAACTGCGCCTTGCTGGCCTGGCCAAAAGAAGGTATTGGCCATTCTCATCCAAGTACGATAGAATCCTGAGTGCCCGCCGATTTTAGAGTCGTGGAAGTGTTGCAATATTTGCTCGCGGAGTTGCCCACTATCCGGGACATACACTCGGCCTCGATGTAGCACGAGACCATCATGCAACTCGTAGTCGGCAACGGTTGCATCTCCTGCTTCTATAGCTCGCAGTAAGTCTTGACATTGGGTGTCGCCTCATTGCGCCCTCCTTATCTCCTCCCATATCGCCCATGCTGGCCCGGTTATGGCTTTGAGCTCAGCGACGTCCGTCCGTCTCGACAGGGCGTCGGCCACAGTGTTTTGTCGACCCGGCCTGTACACTATCTCGAAGTCGAAGCCCATAAGCTTTGAGACAAACTTTTGTTGTTCGGGCGTTATGATCCTTTGCTCGCGTAAGTGTTTGAGCGGTTGTTGATCGGTCACGATCCGAAAGCGTCGCCCTGAGAGGTAGGGCCTCCAGCATCGTACCGCCTCGACGACTACGAGCATCTCCTTCACATACACGGACAATCCTAGTCGGGCCGTGCCAAGTGCCTTGCTAAGGAAGGCCAAGGGACGTCCTTCCTGGACTAGCACCGCACCAATGCCCACATCACTCGCGTCCGTGTGCACTTCAAACAACACCTCGAACCTTGGCATGGCTAGAACGGGCGTCGATGTCATTGCACCCTTAAGTTTCTCGAATGCAGCCTCACTCGCCACGGTCCACTTGAATCTGCCCTTCTTGGTCATCTCGGTTAATGGTTTGGCAATGGACCCATAGTCCTTTACGAACTTCCGGTAGTAACCTGTGAGCCCTAGAAAACCCCTTAACTGCGTCAAGCTGGTTGGTTTCGGCCAACCGACCATAGCCTCAATTTTCCTTGGGTCGACCTTCACGCCATCATGTTAAATAAAGTGACCAAGGTATTCGACCATCTCTTGTCCAAACGAGCACTTGGACGGCTTAATGTAGAACGAGTTAGCCTCCAAGATCTTAAGCACCACACGTAAGTGCCCTATGTGCTCGTCCCACGTCTTTGAGTAGACTAGAATGTCGTCGAAGAATACCAAGACGAATTTGCGCAGATGGTCCTCGAAGATGGAGTTCATAGCAAACTGGAAGGTGGATGGGGTGTTGCATAGCCCAAATGGCATCACCAAATACTCGTAGTGTCCTTGGTGCGTACGAAGGGCCGTCTTTGGGATATCAGCCTTGTGTAGCCGGATCTGATGGTACCCGGCCCTTAGGTCGAGCTTAGAGAAATAACGGGACCCACCTAGCTCGTCGAGCATGTCGTCGACACTTGGTATAGGAAATCGATCTTTAATGGTTGCGGCATTCAGTGCGCGGTAGTCGGTGCAAAACCTCCACGTGCCGTCTTTTTTCTTGGCTAGTAGCACCGGTGACGAGAATGGGCTTGAGCTGTGTTGAATGAGCCCGGACTCAAGCATCTCACCAACTTGTCTCTCTATTTCGGTCTTCTGGAAGTGCGCATACCGGTATGGATGGACGTGTATCGCATGCTGCTCATTGACCAAGGGTATTCGATGGTCAAACTCCCGATGCGGCGGCAAGCCCTTAGGCTCCCCTAGGACTTGCTCAAACTCCTCGAGTAATGTGCGCACCTCGCTTTGATGTATGTCGGGCTCGGTTGTAGTCGTGCTCGCGTCTTCGACCACGACGGAGAAAATTTGGCCACCCCTGCGCCAAACTCTCTCGATGCTCTTGAGACCAACCTCCTTGGTCCCACTAACTTCACTAGCCTTTAAGGTGACTTGCTGTTCTCCTGCCTTGAACTTCATGACACCAGTTTTGTAGTTGGTGGTCACTTCTCCTAAACCCTCGAGCCATTGAACTCCTAACACCACATCGGGTCCAACCAGGGGTAATGCGTAGAGATCGGCCTTGATGGTGACTCCTTGAAACTTGATTGGCACCTTGCGATAGGACTCGGTGCACCTCAACCGTTCACCATTAGCTACTCGGACTTCAAATGGCTCGATCGTGGTGGTGGACAAATTTAGCTTTTGGGACAGCGTGGTGTTGATGAAATTATGGGATCACCCATTGTCCACGAGTACGACCACGCGGCGGTCCTTAACCCATGCCGGTAGCCGCAACGTCCTCGGCCCTCGGGTACCAGCCATGGCGTGCATCGAAATTTCAGCTTCACCTTCGAGCACTTCAGTTCGAACCTCGCTCTCCTCAACCTCGGGTTCTTCCTCATTATCGGAGTCCGTGACATCGATTAAAAACGCCTGCTTGCATCGGTGGCCCGGCGTGAATTTCTCTTCGCATTTGAAGCACAGGCCTTGCTCGCGTCGGCGCCTCATCTCTTCGAGCGACAGACGCTTGACTTCCGGGATAGGTGGTCGAGCGTTACTTGGTGGCCGTACGCTGGGCGCGATATTCGTCGTGCGCCGTGGCTCGGGAAAGCGTGCGTCCACCCGTCCCCTTCGCGTAGCGGCGAGGTGATCGTCGCGACGTCGGGCGATCTCCATGGCTGCATGCATCGACTCGGGCCGCTCCAATCGAACCTCTGCGGCTAGATCATACTTAAGCCCGCCAATAAATACCCCGACTAACGCAGCCTCGGGCCAGTCCCTAACATGACATGCCAATTTTTTGAACTCCTTCATGTAATCGCGCAGGCTGCCGGTTTGGCGTACGCGCGAAAGGGCCTCATCGTAGTTATGGTAGTTGGAGGTCCCAAAACGCGTGAGTAACTCGCGCTCGAAATCTCCCCATCTAATGGCTCGCTGTCGTTTGTGGTATACATTCGTGAGCCATTGCCACCACACGTTGGCCTCGCCATCTAGGTAATAGGCCGCGTATCGAACACGGTCGTTGGCCTCGGTCTCGTTGAGCTCAAAGTATTGCACGGCCCGGTTGAGCCATGCCTCGGGGTCGGTGCCGGTGAAGGTGGATAGCGTGAGTCGCGGTTTGTCGAGCCTCGGGCGATCGTGCGCGTTAGACGCGTGCGACCGTCGATCGAAGTCCTCCTCGTGCTCGCGCTCATCGGGACGATGTTCCTCCTCCTCGGGTCGATCGTGCCTTGGCTGTCGTGGAGGTGGTCGCGCAAAGCGTTGAAAGCCGCGTACCATCTCCTCGAACCCTCGGTTCATGGTTTCCATTAGATCCCGAACCGATGCCTTGGTTGTGTCGAGCCCCTCGCCGAAAGAGTCCATGACTTCGCTCATACTTCGGACTTGAGCGTCTAGGTTGTCGATCTTGTCCTTCATCTCCTTATTAGCCATTGCTTTCTTTTCTTGCCTTTGTTCTTTGCTTCGAGGACTCGTCTTGAAGAGATTTTTTTTTTTTTTTTTTTTTTGTATAGGGGGACGAAAATAAAGAAGAAAAAGGAAAGGGAATGGGGTAGAAAAAGACACACGATCTAGATCCTCTCAATGAAAGCACCAATGATGAAGATCGCGTGTCCCGATTGCCGATAAGCCACAAACCAGTGCCTTGAATCGCCGATAGGTGTCTCAAGAGCCACGTGAGCGCCTCTTGAAACGAATAAAATTGCAAAAGAAATCGAAAAGATATCTAAGGCAAAGTGTTTGAACAAAAGTTCGGTTTTTCTATTAATTTCTGAATCCATATTTCGAATGACAAAGGGGCCTATTTATAGGTGCCAAACTAAGTCTATTCCTAATCTAAGAAGAACTCCTAATGCTTGGAAATAAATAAAGTCCTAAGGAACTAAATCACTAATTAAAGCAATAAAATATTAAAGTCCTAAACAATCTAGAAATCATAATAGAATAAGAAAACCAAATATCTAAGGGATCTTAGGAAGTCTTGACCTGCGCTCCAAGCCAAACATCCCAACCCTAATCTCGCCGCCTCACGCCCGGACCCTCTTTGCTCGCCTCGCATGTCCCACACGCGATGGCCTGTGTTTCCCCCGTCTGCCGCGCTAACCTCTTGCGCGCGTGATAGGCCCGGCTCGAGGCATTCCTGAGCTGTCTAGCCACATCCGCATCATGAGCGCGTGCCGCGTGTGTTGTGCACCCGACTAGCGTGTCTTCCATTCCTTCGAGCCACTTGTTGCTTTGGCCATCCCCACCAGGTTTCACTCCTTCGATGTGCATCCCGAAACCTCCGATGGCGCGTCCGTTTGAGGCGTGGTCTCATCCATGCACGTCTAGGCCGTCGCATGTGTTCGCGCCCTTTCTTGCGCCTAAATGTTGCTCGTCTATGGACCACCTTCTCACGTGCCCTCGCGCACCTCCAAGCGCGTCCTTCACTGACAACTCTCGGGCTCGACCGGATTACTTTCGCTAAGCCCAGGCCCATATGTCTACTCCGTGTCCATCCTTGAGAAGCTCGGTCTCGAGCGCGCGTCTTCATTCCTTTTGCTTTGATCGACCCTCGCGTGGCGCTCGACCCTCTTGAGCTCGACGTTGCGTGCTCGTTATCGACTCCTTTTCCCGCACGTGTCCACGGCTCATGTCGCTCCTCTCGTGCTTGTGTGCCTCGCACACGGGCTCGTACCCGTCTCTTAGGCCAAGCATGCGTGGTTTTGGCCCTTTCCTCAGCCTTCTCGGGTCGTCTCGGCCCTTGGCCCTCGTCGTTCTCGGGCCTCGAGACCCACATCAGCATCATTCCTCCCCCCTTCGAATGAGTCCTTGTCCTCAAGGACTCGTCATCGATCATCAATTACGGCGTCACCACTTCTTCATCCGCAACGTCCTCTACGTGCGTCTTCTCACCATGGACCGCTTTGACCATGACCAAAGTCTCCTCCTCGGCCTCGTCGACTACATCTTCTACTTCGACCATCGGACCCTCGAGCATATCCTCCTCGTGGCCCTCGTCGACCACCACCATCTCCTTCTCAACCTCGACTTCTTCTACCTCGACCTCGACTTCGACTTCTTCGACCTCGACCTCGACTTCTTCGACCTCGACCTCGACTATGTATTCATCGAGAACATGCGGTCCATCCAAACCCGTCGAGACTTGCTCGTTCGAGCGATTGGCCTCGTGCTCGACTGGCTCGACCTTGTGCGTAGCTTGCTTGATTACGATCGTGGCGGTCACTTCTTCAAAGTAGCCCGGAAAATCAAACGGGAACGTGGGTTCCTCGTACTCGTCTGGCTCGGCCACGACTTCGACGATCTCGACACTCGACCTGCAAATATGGCCCGAGTCATATTTTTCGGCGCATGTAAAGCATAAACCCTCGTCTTGGCGTCGAAACATCTCCTCCATGATCTTGGCTTGTCGTCTACACTTCTCCTCGAAGTTCTTTCGCTCGTACAACTCCTCCAAATATTTTTCCTCCCACGGGGTTAATCTCCTCTCCAACCCTTCCAATATTGCGAGATCCTCCCACTCAATCTCGTCTAATGGCTCGAACAACATGATTTTTTTGTTTTCTTGCGCAATCACGCAACTAACTCAACTCTTTTTTTTTTTTTGATACTCACGAACAAAAATTCGAAAGAAAAGAAAATAGAATGGGGAAGAAAAAGTTCAACCCAACACACGATCAATCACTCTCAATGAAAGCACCAATGATGAAGGATCGTGTGTTACGTCTAGCTCATCTAGCTTGAAACCCGCGCCGACGCCTTGGTCCCTTAGCAATAGGTTGCTAATACGCGCGCCGACGCCTTCGTACTTCGCGATAGGTGTGATGAAACTCGAATGTTGGTCCTATTTCTATCACTGTGAAAAAACTCGGATGTTGGTCCTATTCCATTCACGAACTCTATGTAAACTCCCAAGAGAAAACACACGAGAACTTTGAACACAATGTTCGACTCTTTTCTATTCACTCATCAACATTATTTCAAATGGTACATAGGTGGGTATTTATAGATACCAAATAGATCTAATCCTAGTCTAAATAGAACTCCTAATCTATGCAAGTAAATAATTCCTAATGCAACTAAACATCTAGGGAATATGGACTTACCAAACAATTAAAAGATAAATTGGAAACTAATAGGCACATGCCTTTTATTTGGATTCCTAACCAACCTAATATTCCTAATCTAAACCAAAGTCCTAACATGCTAAGGAAAGCTATTAAAACATGTGGGAAAGTATCAAGAATAATCTAGAGAAGATTCAGCTCCAAAAGGTCTCTCGAAGCCGCGGTTCCTTGCTCGGCAAGTCACCCGCGCAAGCTGTCCCTGGCAGCC